ATGACTAATCTTTTTCTCTGTTCAGAATTTTTTCTCTGCTCGGAATTTTTAAGGCTGGTCTCCATTTGGTTTTGATTTAACAGATATCTGAGTCTTGGTTTGCCGTCCTGGGGCAAGTGAGTCTGTTTTGGGACTGTTCCCCCCCCTTTTTTTTTCTTTCTTTCTTACTAAACTTTGAGAGTCTCGATGGCCAGAAGTATGCCTGAAACCAGTGTTGAACAAGTGTTGCAGCATGAAATACTGACCTCTAGTTGTCCTGCAGATCTAAAGAGAAACCACGGTAAAAAATTAGAGGACGTAGAGTTGGTCCCTGCGTGCGGGTCCTTTCACAATTCGTGTCTATGGTAAACTGTCCTGGGACCTAGAAACGCCCACAGCGGGGACCACAGGTCTGTCTCTCTTCTTGGTCAGGGGTTGACCAGGTGACCCAATTGGCCGGCTGACCCAAGGTCACAGGTGGCAGCCTCCTGGCCGCCCATGCCAGAAGTCAACCCCATGTCAGGCTGCTGCCCTCCATGAGGGGTGACCCAGAAATTCTGAAATTCGGAGAACAGGAAATATCCTGGAAGGCCCCTGAGGCACTCTTCAGGCTGTGGTGTCCTTCCCGGCCCACCTTCCCCTCTGCTACTTCCCTGTCCCTTTGCCCTTTTCTACTCTGCCCTGCCCTGCCCAGTGAGGCCTGGCCCCTCTAGCTCACTCCACCCTCCTGGTGTCTTCAGGGTTAAAGACACCTTTGGTTGCTTTCCTTGGCTGTAAACTCGGCCTTTAAAGGATTAATGATTTCCCTGAACCGGAATGAAAGTCTAAATCTTCAACCCCTAAAAGGATTTTTCGCACCCTGCCCCACCCTTTAAGGCTGCTATGCTGCCCTGTCACCTCTCACTGAACCAGGCCTAAGTCTCCTAATGTTCCATCCTTCTGCCCTTTTTCTCCCCTCTTTGGAGGCCAGGTTGACCTACTAGTTCTCTCTCTGCATAAGCCTCATGATCCAACAAATCACATTCGCAGTCCCAGGACTTTCTACGATGGTGGGCACCCCAGTAACATTTTAGTTAAAAAAAAAAAAATGAGTTTTTCCCATGGGCTTTTGTCCAAGTGGACTTCTTTTGTTATCTTTACTGATCATAAGATTAATACAAACTCCGTGTTTAAAAAAAACACACACACAAATAGGGGCACCTGGCTGGCTCAGTCAGCCGAGCGAGCAGCTCTTGACCTTGGAGTTTGTGAGCGAGTTCGAGCCCCAGGCTGGGTGTAGAGATTACTTAAATAAAAATAATAATATGAAAAACCTCACAAATGTAAAACAAAATGAAACTTTCAGCTTTTCCTACTCCCTGAAGATAAACACTGTTCATTTTCCTCCCTCTCTCTCTCCCACACACACACACACACACACACACACACACACGAACACTCACACACATTTGCTCTCTAACTATGTTCATTCAAAAGAGTTTTATAAACATTTATACACACCAAGTTATTTACACAGAGTAACCCACCTATCTGATTTTTATTTTTTTTTTATTTATTTTTTATTTTTTTTTCAACGTTTATTTTATTTTTAGGACAGAGAGAAACAGAGCATGAACGGGGGAGGGGCAGAGAGAGAGGGAGACACAGAATGGGAAACAGGCTCCAGGCTCTGAGCCATCAGCCCAGAGCCCGACGCGGGGCTCGAACTCACGGACCGCGAGATCGTGACCTGGCTGAAGTCGGATGCTTAACCGACTGCGCCACCCAGGCGCCCCTATCTGATTTTTAGTTTAATGGTTAAAACTGAAAAAGAACAGAAAAGAAAACCAAACACAACTACAGGGTTTTTTGTGGGTTTTTCTTTTTACGGGTTGGATCTGGCGACGGGTAGGGGGGAGACCCCAGACGCTCACAGCAAAGGATCCTGAGAGCCGGAACCAGGTTCCAATTTCTCTGGGAGGCTGAACCTCGGGGCCAGGAATCCAGGGAAACGCTCCCCTGGCGTAGAGAAGACCATGGGGTCCTGGGGAGGTAAGGGGAGTCTTCTCTTCAGGAAGCAGGATGTATCCTGGCCTTGGTGTGAAGTTTGAGTATCCTGGTACGATGCCAGAAGGTACAGTGCCTCAAGTAGCCTCCGGCCTGACCTCACCTGCTGAGTTGTTGGCTGGGCTTTGGAATGGGTGTCTGCTGTCTGCTCTCCACAGAAGCTCCATTCCTCAGGACGAAGGGACATAAAGTGTCACAACTGTCATCCAGTGCCGATAATGTTGGAAGATTACACTTTTTTTTTAATGCTTATTTATTTTGAGACAGAGAGCATGAGTAGGAGAGGGGCAGAGAGAGAGAGAGAATCCCAAGCAGCCTCTGCACTGTCA